GTCATCTTCGCTTCAAGGAACTGGCCTGTGGACAGGGGATGTTCTGGAGGTATGTACACCCCTCCCACATCAATATCACAAGATTGGGGGCACAGGATCAGCAGATAGCATAATGGTTACATCACTGGACTTCCACGTAGTCAACCAAGGTTCAAGTCCTGGACCCAGTGGTTTAAAACTCATGCTGATTATGTGTGCGTGTGTGCCCCAAACCCCGAGAATAGAGAAGGGATTGCAGTGTGGCCATTCCCCCTGGGGAGTGATTTCTCACTTTCTGTCTCTGTCTCTCTGATGAACACATGCATCCTATAGCAAAAACCTCTCAAAATAAATAAATGCCTAAATAAAATAAAATAGGTAAAAGAAAACACATTAGAAGTCAGTAAAATGACCAAAAATATCCTGTTAACTCACTAATGTGACTGACTGGTACTTGCCATTAATTAGGTTGACTTCTGTTCCATTCATTCTGCCTTCTATGTAAAACTATTAGGGGGCCAGCAGGTGGTGAGGTGGTTAAGGGCGCTAAAATCCCACATGGTCAACTGTGGTTCAAGTCACAGACCTCGTGGCTTGCTTTCTCACTTTCCCTTTCTTTCTTTGTCTCACTACCTCCCTCTCTGGCCAAATTAAAATAAATAAAGTTAAAATAAAATAATTCTTTAAAAATAAAAAACTATTAGGGGACTGGCAAATGGCATGGTGGTTAGAGGTGCTGGACTCCCACATGGCCGACCACAGTTCAAGTCTCTGACCTGGTGGCTTGCTTTCTCACTTCCTCTCTCTCTCTCGCTCTCTCTGATCAAGCTGGACAATAATATAAATAAAGTTAAATAAAATAATTCTTTAAAAAATAAAAAACTATTATGGGAACCAGCAGTTAGCGTAATGGCTATGTCGCTGGACTCCCACGTAGTCGACCGCGGTTCGCGTCCTGGACCCGGTGGCTTAAAACTCACGCCGGGCGCGTGTGCGTGCGTGCCCAAGATCCCGAGAGGAGAATGGAGGAGAAGGGATTGCGGCGTGACCATCCTCCCTGGGGGATTTCTCGCTTTCTGTCTCTATGTCTCTCTCTGTCTGTCTGGCGAGCGCACGCGCCCTACAGTGAAAATCTCTCAAAAAAAAAAAAAAAACTATTAGGAACATCAAAGACAGAATTAGTTCACTTCCTCACATCACTCAATACAGAAAAATGTCTCACTTCCTTGAATAGAAATCAATCTGCCTAAGACAAACACAAATCCCATTGAGAATCTTCTGAAAAACTATACAGTTATGCTTTGTGGCAGTATCTATTATTTTAAATTATTGTTACTTAAGTTTGCTATAAGGCATATATGCTCAAGAGAGAGAGCAAACCACCAGGTCCAGGACTCAAACTGTGGTTGGGTACATGGGTCCAGAGCCTTAAAATGCCACACCACGTGCTGGCCCCTTGTGGTACTATTTATCTTTCCTGGTAATTTCTAGAGGGTGCATGTATGACAGAAGGTGTACACGTAAGCACCATCCCTATGGAGGAATGGTCACACCATAATCCCTTCTCATCTATTCTTCTCTCAGAATCTTGGACACACACGCACACATGCGTGGCATGAGTTTAAGTCACATGGTCTGGGACTTGAACTGCGGTCGACTACATGGGAGTCCAGTGACATAGCCATTATGCCAACTGCTGGCACCTCCTGGCACATTTGAAAAACACTGGGAGCTGGATTTCAACTGTAGTTGGCCATGTGGGATACAGTTCTCGTAACCACAAGGCAACAGATCATTTTAGTACTACAATTATACATTTTTAAAAAATGAATTATTGGGGCCAGCAGGTGGCATAGTAGTTTAGGCACTGGACTCCCACATAGATGACTTAAGTTTGAGTCCCAGACCTGGCAGCTTGCGGACCTGATGGCTTGCTTTCTCAGTCTCTGACCCCTTGTCTCTCTCTCTGGTGAGTGCATGTGCCCTAAACCAACTTAAAAAGTAGTAATAAATATGGGACCAGCAGTTGGCGTAATAGCTATGTCACTGGATTCCCATGTAGTCGACTGTGGTTCTAGTCTTGGACCCGGTGGCTTAAACTCATGCCAGGCGTGTGTGCGTTCATGTCCTAGATCCCCAGAGAATGGAGGAGAAGGGATTGAGGTGTGGCCATCCACCCTGGGGGGTGATTTCTCTCTTTCTCTCTCTGTCTTTCTGGTGAGCACACAAGCTCTATACCAAAAACCTATATATATAAAAAAATAGTAATAAATAAAAGTAAATTATTCTTTTTAAAAATATATTTACAGTTATTATTATTATTATTAAATTTTCTTTGCACTAGAGACAAAGAAAAAGAGAGAAGCAAGCCACCAGGTCCAGGACTTAAACTGTGGTCCACCACTTGGGAGTCCAGCACCTCAACAACCATGCCACTCCAAAAACCTATATATATAAAAAAATAGTAATAAATAAAAGTAAATTATTCTTTTTAAAAATATATTTACAGTTATTATTATTATTATTAAATTTTCTTTGCACTAGAGACAAAGAAAAAGAGAGAAGCAAGCCACCAGGTCCAGGACTTAAACTGTGGTCCACCACTTGGGAGTCCAGCACCTCAACAACCATGCCACTTGCTGTCCCCTATTCCACCCTCTTTGACAGCAGGTTTGGTTTGGATGTTCTTTTTAATGGGTGCTCGAAACACTGCAATTGAACTTTTACTGTTATGAGTGAAGAATAAAAAAAAATTAGTAAGACAGAAAATGACACTTAGCATAAAAGGTAAACTTTATGTAAGGGAAAGAAAATGCCTAAGGTAATAGTGACTCACAATGTCAAATGAATAACCTGGCTATATGAAAAAAAAAAAGTTTTGACCCATGATTACAACAGTTTATTTTAATGTATCTTCTTGATAAATGAAAAAGACCATAACATTTGTTAGCATACAAGTTGTTTGAAAAGTTTAATATACTATTTCTAGGAAGCATATACAGAAAACTTTTTGTTGTTTTGAATGTGCCAGAGAGTGCATGCACTCGCCAGACAGAGACAGAGAGGAAGAAAGCACACACACCCCCATGAGGTGTGGTCATGCCACAATCTCTTCTACATTTCTCCATTCTGTCAGGATTTGGGGCATGCACGCACAAGCACCTGGCCATGTTTTTCAAGCTTCTGGGACTGGGATTCGTACCATGTAGTTGGCAATGTGGGATCCAGCTCCTTTAACCACTAGGCCATAGAGCTGGCTCCATGTATAGAAATCTTATTTGAAAATAACATAGTTTTCATCACACATGATCAAACATAATTAAAAACTGAGGCATTACACGAAGCTGTAACAGAAAATCCTCACACTCTTCTTCCTGATAGGAGGAAGATACTTATTCTCACCTGATTGTATGGGGTGAGACCAGACACTGCCCAATGCAGTGGAATACAAACTCTTAGCTTGTGGATTTTGACGCTGAGTCAACAACACGGTCCTTACTAGTCTGAACAAAAGTGTTTTACTACACAAACTAGATTTATACCTATTCAGTCTATAGGGTAGTCAGAGCATCACAGACTATTTCCAACCACAAAAGGCTGAGTTGCTTTGCCTGGTCGACACATTGGGACTCTCAAGAAAATCCACACTGTGGCTGGATCTTTCATGTGAAGCTGGTGGAACGCTTGTGGAAATCTACACTTCTGGGAAACCTAGGCTACTGGAAGTCATGTAGTTAATGGTGGTCTGGAGGATCCGCCTGATCAGCAAGACAAAGTATCCACTTGACTGGCAAGCCGAAGTACCAGGAAAATAGGCTGGAAGTAGGTGTCTATGAAGTCCATATGCATCTGGTTGTCTTCCTGTGTAGTGCCTCCAGCACTCGACTAATGCCTTCTACATTTGTACCTTCCAAACGTCAGATAAGTTAGGCTACTAATGATTTTTTTTTCTTTTTTCTTTTTCCAATTGCCGGAGAGAGACAAGAGACGGAGAGAGAGAGGGAAACGGAAAAAGCACCTCCCAATGAGGCATGGTCATTCTGCAATCCTCTCTCCATTTCTCCATCCTGCCAGGATTTGGAGCATGCATGCAAAAGTGCCTGGCATGTTTTTCAAGCTGCTGGGACTGCAATTTGAACAGCATGGTTAGTCACATGGGATCTGGATCCCTCGACCAGCTGGGCTACAGGTCAGCCCTATTGATAAATATTAATGTGGGACCACAATGGGAATGAACTCTGGGAAATCTACTCCCCAACATCACAAACATTGAAATAACACATCCAGAAATCCAACTCCAACTCTATTATTGTATTGCCTAACCACAGCAATCCTTACTTATATTTATTAAGTTGTAAGAGGGCATGTGCATTCACCAAAAACAAAGACACAAGAGAGTAGGAGAGGGAATGGGAGAAAGCACCCCCAATGGGGTATGGTCACACTGCAATCCCTTTTCTTCCTCAACGCCATGTCAAAATTTTGGGTACACACACATATGCCCAGACCGCAGTAGACCACATGGGATCCAGATTTCCTTAACCACTAGGCTCTGGATCTGGCCCAGGTCACTCTTCTTAATTCAACGTAAACAGCCATAAATAATGACAAAGACTGAGGGGCAAACTATGTAAATAATAATTCACAGAAGACTATATACTCTATGAAAAAATTTACATATTTGCAGATTGTTGGCAAGTACTAACTAGTAAGGAAAATGGAAAAAATGCCTTTGTGCCAAAAACCAAAATAGGTCTTTTTCCCAAAGAAAAGGTGGAATGTATATAAAGGATAAGGGCTATCTAAATGCTGCCATGAGGCAAGCAAAAAAATTTCAACAACAAATGGATAATTCAATGGCCTAATAATCACAGAGCCATTCAAAAACTACATAAAAATTTCAACTCCCTACATACATACATATATATTTTTATATATATATACTTACCCCCCAGGGGGTGCATGCATTCACCAGAGGGAAAGAAGAAAGCACCTCCCCATGGGGAATGGTCATGCTGAAATCCCTTCTCCTCTATCTCCCCCTCCTGTTGGGATTTTGGGCACGTACTCTGGCATACTTCTGAAGCAGCCAGGTCTGGGACTCGAACTGTGGGTTGGTCACATGGGATCTGGCTGTCTTCACCACCAGACCTCAGAACTGACCCTAAACTCACTGCACACTAAAAATATATTTCAATACACTTATGGATGGAACACGCTTCAAAATGGAAGATAAATTTCACCAACTGATTTTAAGAAAAAACACTACATACGCTATTGTTTAAACAATACTTAGGAATTGTGTTACTTCAATGTTTCTTTTCAAGAATTAGAAATTGACAGTACAGGATTCCTGCTAAATAAGCTACTGAAAAAAGACTGTTGATAACTTTTATATAACATTTCCTTCAGGTTGTTATTTTCGGGGGCATTCTACATGAGTAAGTGTGCATCTGGCTTTTCCTATTCTATTTACAGGATTTTGTTGTATTACTTTTCATATGACTTTAAAAGAATTAGTTAAAAACATTCCTGTATTTTTCAAGCTTGCAGAGTTTTAAAGCAGTTATCTAGTTTTACATGTGGGTCAACTGAAGGCTTGTCCACATTTATTATATTCAAGAGGTTTCTCTACATGTTTTCCTTGATGGCTTTGAATGGAAAAGGGAAGACTAAAAGCTTTCTGACACCCATTAAATTTATGAAGGACCTCTGAAATATGTACCCTCATGGGTGGTAGAAAGGTTGAGTGATCATGAAAGTCCTCCAACATTCTTTATTTTGGGTTTCTCTCCAGTGTGAATTATTATTTTATTTTTTTCTTTCTCTTTTATTGCTAGAGGGTGCATGTACTCACCAGAGAGAGACAGAGAGAAAGAGAGAAAGAAAAGAAGAGAATCTCCCAATGGAGCATGGTCATACTGCAAACCTTTTTCCTCTATTTCTCCATCCCATCAGGATTTGGGGCACACATACACGTGCCCATCGTGTTTTTCATACTGCTGAGGCTGGCATCCGAACTGCAGTCATCCATGTGGAACCCAGTTCTCTGAACAGCTGAGCAAGGAAGGCAGCCCCAGAATGAATTCTTTCATGCTTACGAAGGTACCTCGACAAGCTAAAGGCTTTTCCACACTCCTTACATATGTATGGTTTTTCGTCAGTATGAGTACTTTCGTGCTTTCGAAGGGAACTGGAACAGATGAAGGCTTTTCCGCATTCTTTACATACATATGGTTTCTCTCCACTGTGAGCTTTTTCATGGTACTGAACAGATCTGGAACGATTAAAGGCTTTCCCGCATTGCTTACATACATAAGGTTTCTCTCCAGTGTGAATTCTTTCATGTTTTCGATAGTAACTGGAAGAACTGAAGGATTTCCCACAATACTTACATTGGTAGGGTTTCTCCCCGGTATGAGTTCTTTCGTGGACTCGCAAATAACTGAAAAAAATGAAGGCTTTACCACACTGTTTACATTCATACGGTTTCTCTCCAGTGTGAATTCTTTCATGGATTCGGCAAGAACTGGAACGGTTGAAGGCTTTCCCACACTGCTTACATGCATAGATTTTCTCTCCACTGTGAGTTCTTTCATGAAGAAGAGTTAAACTGGGACAATCAAAGCCCTTCCCACATACCTTACATTTATAAGGTCCATCTGCGCTCTGCATTATCATGTGTCTTTGGACACTTACAAGAGAGAAAAAGGTTTCTCCACATTCATTACAATAATAGAGTTTCTCTCCAGTGTGGGCACTTTCATGTATTTGAAAGGAGTGACAATGACTGAAGGCTTTCCCACACTCCTTATGTATATATGGCTTTTCTAAATATTCCTGATAATCATATGATTCATGTCCAGTTTGAGTTGGGATGTGCTCATTAAGGGATAAAGGATCAGTGAAGACTTCTTCACACATACTGCTTTCGTATGCCTTTATTCCAAGAGGAGTTTCTTTGTTGAGAATGTACTGTGGCATCTGGTCGACAGTTTCTCCATACTGAATACCTTCTTGACATTCATACAGATTCTCTACCACATCACTTCTGGAAAAATCAGAAACACATTACTTAAGGGTTTAGTTATGATTCTGAATTTATTAATAGGTTTTACTAGACTTAGAATTTTAACATTATCAGATAAAGCATAAGCTTTATGACTTTCCTTTCTGAGGTGTTTGAGTATCAGTAGGCTGCTTTGCAAGATAGCTCTCCCTGGATCAAGAGGCAGTGTAATGATTATGTCACAGGATTCCCATATGGCTGACCACAGTTCAAGTCCCGGGCCCAGAGGCTTGAAAATCATGCTGGGCAAGTGTGCATGCATGCCCAAAATCCTGAGAGGAGAACGGAGGAGAAGGGATTGCAGTGTGATCATTACCCCGGGGGGTGATTTCTCACTTTCTCTCTCTCTGGTGAGCGCACACACCCTATAGCAAAAACCTCTCTCAAAAATAAAAGTAGTAACTTGAGACCAGCAGAGGGTGTAATGGACTGGACTCCCACATAGTCAGCTGTGGTTCAGGTCCTGAACTGGTGGCTCAAAACTTACACTGGGTGTGTATGCGTGCATGCAGGTCTGGGATCTGAACTACAGTCGGCCATGTGGGAATCCAGTGACATAACCATTATGCCATCTGTTGGTCCCTTCTTTTTGTTTGTTTAAAAATTTGCTATCAGGTATGTGTGTTTGTCAGAGAGAGAAAGGTAGAGAGGGATAGAGAAAAAGTGAAAAACAACTCCTGGGGGGAATAGCCACACCACAGTCCCTTCTCCATTATCCTCTGAGGATTTTGGGCACACATGCATATGCACCTAGCATGTTTTTCTGGGAGTTGAACTATGCAGTCAGTGATGTGGGATTCAGCCACTTTACCCACTGTGGCACTTGCTGGCCCTTGCATTTAGATCTTTTTAAATTATATTTTATTTCTACAGGGCACATGAGCTTACTAGACAAAGATAGAAAACAAGAGAAAGTGTACCCCCTTCCTTAATAGGGCATGGTGTGACCAGCAGTTAGCGTAATGGCTATGTCGCTGGACTCCCATGTAGTCAATCGTGGTTCGAGTCTCACCGGGTGTGTGTGCATGCATGCCCAAGATCCAAGAGGAGAATGGAGGAGAAGGGATTGTGGCGTAGTCATCCTTCCTGGGGGGTTATTTCTAGCTTTCTGTCTCTCTCTGTGCGCATGTGCCCTATAGCAAAAATCTCTCCAAAAAAAGAAAAAAAGAAAAAAAAAATAGGGCATGGTACCACTGCAATCTCTTTTCCATTTATTCATCCTGTCAAGATTCTGGGCATGCACACACACACAGCGTGTTTTTCAAGCTGCCAAGGCTAAGACTCAAACCACAGATGGCCAAGTGGGATCTAACTCCTTTAACCATTGCACTACAGGGTTGACCTGTGAATACAGAGCCCAGCAGATGACGTAGTGGTTATGTTGCTGGACTCCCACGTGGCCAAATGCAGTGCAAGTCCCAGACTTGGTGGCTTGAATATCACACTAGGCACATGTGCACACATGCCCAAGATTCCAGGAGAACAGAGAAGGGATCGCAGCATGGGTATCCCCCCGGAGGGATGATTTCTCACTTTTTCTCTTGTTGTCAATGTTTTTCTCTCACTCTCTCCTGGCAAGTATATGCGCCCTAAGGCAAAAAACTCTTTAAAAAAAAAAAAAAAAAAGGCAATGTCTTAATACTGCTTCCAAGTAAACTATTTTGCAAACTCTGACTATCTATGTTATGTTTAAATATATGTTTCCTGCATAAAAATTTTCTAAGAATAAGTAAGGTTGGAGTTGGGCCTTTTTGTTTTGTTTCCATTTTTAAACTACAGGACAAACTAAAGCTCTCTACAAAAACAGTTCTTATTCTTTTTTTTGGAGAGGTTTTTCGCTATAGGGCGCGTGTGCTCGCCAGACAGACAGAGACATGGAGGCAGAAAGCGAGAAATCACCCCCCAGGGGGGATGGTCACGCTGCAATCCCTTCTCCTCCATTCTCCTCTCGGGATCTTGGGCACACACGCACACGCGCCTGGCGTGAGTTTTAAGCCACCAGGTCTGGGACGTGAACTGCGGTCGACTACGTGGGAGTCTAGCGACATAGCCATTATGCTAACTGCTGGTTCCCAACAGTTCTTATTCTTGTAAATGCAAATTACCTTTGATATGTCATGGGATTTCCATACTCATCTTCAATAGTTTCATCTTTCCATTGTCTTCCTAAAATAAAAAACCAGAAAAATTAGTGAGTTATTACAAAAGTGTAGAAAAAAGCCTAAATTCTATGATCAGAGTCCTCTGTTACCATATCTAATTTATTCACTGAAGTATTATCTTTGAATAATTAAGTTCAAGTCCCAGATCTGGCAGCTTGCTTGGTCACCTTCTCTCTCTTTCTGTCTCCCTCTGTGGGCTCATGTGCCCTATAGCCAATTTTAAAAAATTAATTGACAAAATAAATAATCCCTTTAAAAAATACTACAGAACATTGAGGAACAAGGAACGCTTGTCTTTTAATTGATGAAGTGAAGGAAAGTTGCCATTCTTACCTAGAGATGCAAGGTTGCTGACAGTTTCCCGTATTACATCTTTGTAGAGATTCTTCTGTGAAGGATCCAGTAAATCCCACTCCTCATGGGTAAAGGTCACAACAACATCCTCCAAGGCCACTGAGTCCTGCAACATCCCACATACGTGTGGAGGAAGGGTGAGACTGACAGCATGAGGGATATATGCTCAATTAATAAGTTCATATAATGCTGTGGACTCCATACATTTATTCTAAGACTCAATAATGACACTCTTCCTCTCTGTACACTCATTTCTGTTTCCTCTAAGGGAGAAAAGCTAAACAGGGTTGAAAATCGGTAGGAATTACTTAAAGACAGTTGTAAAGTAAACGAAAGTCCTACGAACACCTGGGAGGAACAGATGGGGAAAAAAACACTGTTCAGAATGCAGGAACTCCAAAAGCACCCATGTGTTCTGGGGAACTGAGAAAACCCTGTGCATGCTCAGGAGAGAACACATTTTCAGAAAAGACCTGAGAGGCTGGGACCAGCAGTTAGCGTAATGGCTATGCCACTGGACTCCCATGTAGTCGACCGTGGTTTGAGTCCTGTACCCAGTGGCTTAAACTCAGGCCACAAGTGCGAGCATGCCCAAGATCCCAAGAGGAGAATGGAGGAGAAGGGATTGTGGCGTGGCCATCCCCCCGGGGTGGGGGTGTGTGATTTCTTGCTGTCTCTGTCTTTCCAGTGAGTGCATGTGACCTATAGCAAAAAGCTCTCAAATTAAAAAAAAAAAATTTTTTTTAATTGCTTAATGGTTCCGTTGCTAGAGTCCCATGTAGTCGACTGCAGTTAGTGACCCAGACTTGGCAACTTAAAACCACACCGGGTGCGTGTCCAGGTGTGCCCAAGATCTCAAGAGGAGAATGGAGGTCCCTTCAAAAGGGATTGCAGCCTGGCCATCCTCCCAGGTGGTGAGTTCTTGCTTTCTGTCTCGCTGGCGAGCACATGCACCCTATAAAAATCTCTTACTAAAACAAAATAAAACAAAGCTCCCTCATTTCCCATGCTTCACTTTCCTCACTTCTGTTCGCCAGCTCGAGCTCCACAGCGGCCATTGGCCAGCTGACCACCTCTTGGCCAATAAGCGCCGCCCTCTTGCAGCCGTCCCCTCCATGTTGCTGGGTAGAACAAAACAAAAACACAGCAGAGCAAATGGCTGAGGCTGAGGAGTGGGGTCTGGCTAGGTGGACCAGAGATCTGGGTGACCAACGGTGGTGGCCAGGGATCCATAAGGAAGAATTCCATTTGGTAATTTGTTTAATCTGTGCAAGTGAAATTAAAAAAAAAAAAAAACAATGGACATAGAAAATGAACAAATACTGACTGGAAACCTGATAGATCCTGAAAATTTAAGTGACTCTTTTTTTCTGGTGATGAAGATAATGCTGGGGCTGAGGAAATACAGAATGAAATAAACGAAAATGGGATTTCGGTATCTTCCATTAATGAAACCAGAATTAATGCCAAGGCAAAAAGATGACTACGGGAAAACTTGTCCTGGGACTCTGGCAGAGAATGATTCTGTCAGTGACAGTGAAAGTGAAGCCCTTAGAAGTGGAGTATCTTGGGACCAGCAGTTGGCATAATGGCTGTGTCACTGGACTCGCATGTAGTTGGTGGCTTATACTCACAATGGGCACGTGTGCATGCATACCCAAGATCCTGAAAGGAGAGTGGAGGAGAAGGGATTGCAGTGTGTCCATCCCCCCTGGGGGGTGATTTCTCACTTTCTGTCTCTCCCTGTCTTTCTGGGTAGTGCACACACCTTACTGCATAAACCTCTCAAAAAAAAAAAAAAAAAAAAAGTATCTGTGCCAATCAGTCCAAAGGGTAGGTTGCTGGATAGGCAATCCAGATCTGGGAAGGGAAGTGGGCTACCAAAGAAAGATGGTGTGGGAGGCAGAGGTGTTTGGGGTACACCTGGACAAGCAGATGATGTGCAGGAGGTGGATGTGAAAGATCCTAACTATGACGATGACCAGGAGAACTGTGTTTATGAAACTGTAGACGTGTCTTTGGATGAAAGGGCATCAGAAAAGACTAACACAATCATACAGGAGTATTTTGAGCATGGAGATACTAATGAAGCTGTGGAAATGCTAAGAGATTTAAACCTTGGTGAAATGAAAAGTGGAGTACCTGTTTTGGCAGTGTCCTTCGCACTGGAAGAACAGCTAGTCATAGAGAAATGACATCTAAGCTCCTTCTGACCTTTGTGGGACAGTAACAAGCACAAATGATGTGGAAAAAGCATTTGATAAGCTATTGAAAGATCTACCTGAATTAGCACTGGATATTCCTAGAGCACCAGAATTGGTGGGCCAGTTTACTGCTAGAGCTATTGAAGGTGGAATTTTATGTAATACCTAGATTGGTAGTTACAAAGGAACTGTAATTTGTGTACAGGCTTAGAGCTGCTCTGGATAAGGCTACTGTGCTGGGTACATTTAAAGACATATCTAAAGCTAAACATTGCCTTAGAGAACTGGAAGTACCTCCTTTTCACCCTGAGCTTGTATATGAAGCCATTGTAATGGTTTTAGAGTCAACTGGAGGAGAAAGTACTTTTAAGATGATCTGGGATTTATTTATTTATTTTGGAGAGGTTTTTGCTATAGGGTGCCAGAAAGACAGAGAGACAGACAGAAAGTGAGAAATCACACCCCAGGGGGATTTGGCCACGCCGCAATCCCTTCTCCTCCATTCTCCTCTCAGGATCTTGGGCACCCAGTGTGAATTTAAGCCACCAGGTCCGGGACTTGAACTGCAGTCGACTACATGGGAGTCCAGTGACATAGTCACTACGCCAACTGCAAAGTTTTGTTGTTTTTGAGAAGTTTTTGCTATAGGGTGTGTGCTCTCACCAGAAAGATAAAAAGTCAAAAAGTGAAAAATCACCACCCGGGGGGATGGTCACACCACAATCCCCTCTACTCCATTCTCCTCTCGGGATCTTGGACATGCACGTACACGTGCCCGACATGAGCTTTAGCCACTGGGTCCGAGACTTGAACTGCGGTCAACTACATGGGAGTCCGGTGATATAGCCATTACGCCAACTGCTGGTCCCTAACTTTATTTATTTATTCATTTATTTTAATTTGACTAGATAGGAATAAAATGAGAGAGAAGAGACAGAGAGAGGGTGAGAAAGCCACCCATCAGGTCCGGGATTCAAACCACGACTGGATATGTAGGGGTCCAGTGCCCTTAGCCACCATGCCACCCGCTGGCCCCAGGGAACTTTTTTATATTAAAAAAATTAAGTATCCCCAAGAGTAACAAATTCAACCATAGCTCAGGGTGGCTCTCCTCTAACAAATAATAGAAGGAAAACTGAACAGCCAGAAAACTTAAGGTCGAAGTGCCACACCCTCTACATTTAATCCAATTCTGACACTATCTAGTAACAAGTGAAAGATCTCACAAAGTAAGCCGCAACAGCTGTACGGCATCCAACAGTTCAATTCTGACACCACCAAGTTAGCAAAGTCCCAGAAGTTTAGGACTTGGTACCATGACACTGCACAACACTGTGTCAATCAAAAACCTTAAGAGAGGGGGGCCAACAGGTGGCACAGTGGTGAAAGCACTGGACACTCCCACATGAAGGCTTGTTTTCTCATTTTCCCTCTGTGTGTGCGTGTGTGTGTGTCTCTCTCTCTCTCTGGTCAAATTAAAATAAATGAATGAGGGGCCAGCAGCTGGTGTGGTGGTTAAGGTGCTGGACACTCCCACATGGCTGACCACAGTTCAAGCCCCGGACCTGGTGGCTTGCTTTCTCACTCTCCTTCTCTTTTTAAACTAAAATAAATGAACGAATCAATAAAATAAGTAATTCTTTAGAAAATAAATTAATAAAATTAAATAATTCTTAAAAAAAAAAAAAAAAAAAAACCTTAAGAGATTGGAAAGAAGCCAGCAGGTGGCATAATGGTCAAGGTATTAAACTCCCACATGGTCAAAGTCTCAGACCTGGTGGCTTGAAAACCACATGGGATGCATGTGAGGGTGTTCAAAATCCCTGGAGAAGGGACTGCAGCATGGCCATCCCCCCTGGGCAGGGGAGTGACTTCCCACTTTCCTTCCACCTGAACCTCTCTGTCTCCACTCTAGCAAGCACATGTGGCCTATATATGACAATAACCTAAAAACCTAAAACAAAAAGAAAAAGAAAAAAAAGGCAACAGGGTCAGCAGGTGACATGGTGGTTAAGACACTAGACTCCCACAGGGTCAACCTTAGTTTGAGTCCCGGATCTGATGACTTGCTTTCTCATTTTTTCTCTCTTTCTTTCTCTGGTGAGTGCACCTACTCTACAGCATATTAAAAAAAAATAAATAAATAAGTAAAAAAAAAATAAAGAGAACAGCCCCATTTCCTTTTTAATAATTATTTTTATTTTCACTTTATTTATTTATTTATTTAGGTTATAGGGCAGGTGCACGCGCCAGAAAGATGGAGAGAGACAAAGAGATAGAAAGCAAGAAATCCCCCCCCGGGGAGATGGCCACACTGCAATCCCTTCTCCTCCATTCTCCTCTCGGGATCTTGGACATGCCCCCACACGCGCCCAGCGGGAGTTTAAGCCACTGGGTCCGGGATTCGAACCGTGGTCAGCTACATGAGAGTTCAGCGACATAGCCTTTATGCTAACCGCTGGTCCCATAACTTTACTTATTTTTAATTTGACCAGAGAGAGACAGAATGAGGGGAAGAGAGAGGGGGAAAGTGAGAAAGTGATCTGCCAGGTCCAGCACCTGAACTAGTGGGTCATGTGGGAGTCCAATGCTCTTAACCACCATGCCACCTACTGGCCAAAAACAGCCAAATTTTTGACCAACTACCACACTCTCATCAGGTTTGGTAATTTGTCAAAACTATGCACAGAACTCCGTACATTCATAGAAGTTAGTATAAGGTTTACATTCGTTTACCAGATTATTGTCAAGTATTGGCTTGCTGAAAAAGTTCTGATGCCTTTTTGCATAGAAAAATTGAGAAACATGTCATAACTTTCCCTATGACCCAATAAGCAACTTAGAAGCAGCCAAATAAAAGACATGTATGGGACAAGGGACCAAGGTGGGAAGGAAGAGGGGG